TTACATACAGCCCTCGACATTAATGGCTGTATGTAAACAGCCCTGACATTAAGCCATTAAACATGGCCTTCTAGATTTTCAAGAATATGTGCAAGCTTTTCAAAGCTCCCTGCGGACATCTCATTCTTCAGTTTTTCCTTTTAAGGTTTTTGGTCAGTCTCTTGTTAGTCCCAACTGGTAGTGCTGCCTCAGGCAGCCAGGTTGTTAAACATTTGCTGCTGATCGATTGTGACAAATGCCCTGTGGGTAAGCAGCTGTTAACACAGAGTGACCTGTAACTGCTAGATAGACAATGACAGTTTTTTGGGGATGGGGCTTTAAATAGCTCCACCCATGTTTCTTCTGGTGGCTGCTAGGCTGCTAGTTTTTATAGCTACTGTAGTTGCAAAACTATTCCTTTAGAAGTCTACTTCTGAGCTAGAGAAAGCACGCTGGAATTAGGGGAAGTTAAAATGCCACAGTGCTCACTTTTCTTAAGAGATTTCTTAAGAGTTTTTCTTGAATAAACACTCCTCAGATTGCTGTAAGCCTTAAGTTAATTTCCAGAGTTCTAAAAAAGTTGATTTTGACAGTTTTTGCTAGAATTCTTGTTCCTTTTATGCAGGAGAGGAGTGTCAGAGATCTTTACCTTACTATTCTGGAAATGACATTTCAAAAATGTGTATGTTGAATGGGGATGTCATTCTTCACACATGGTAAAGACATCTGATTGGTAACATCTTGGTTATGAACATCTGCTTAGTAACATTTTGGTTCTAAGGTGTACCCATGGTAGTAGGAGGTATTGAATGATTTCTCTTGGGCCACCTGAAGATCTGTAGAGATCCTTCTACCGTAGCTTTCTGAGACATGAGCTTCTGTGTCAGAGCGTCTGGTCAGGTCTTCGGGAGCTATGGCCCTAAGTGCTCCTGCATCACATACAAATAAAACCGATCTTTACTGTGCAGCTGTTGTGAAGTCCTATCAGACATAGTGTGCGGTGACTCTACAGACCCCAGTTCTGCTAATCTGAGGCAACAGTGTACTTCTGGTCTGCAGTTTTCTTGTGAAAGAAAAAAAAAAAAAAAAAAAGGAAATAATCACCTAGAGCTATTACGAAGGTTAAATGGGAGAATTTTTATGCCTTCTCCAGAATAGACCAGCGTTCAGTGTGTTTCATTTCACATGCCATGCCCAATTCTGGAGGACGTACCAGTAATCCTGGGGTTCTTACGCCAATAGTGCAATTTGTCCTCTCTGAGAACTGTGAGGAGTGCATCTGTACCTTGGGTTACTTTGCAGCCTCCCTTTCGTGTCGTCAGATTTGACAAGTTGGTGGCTTAGATGGCGGAACTTGCCCTTTTTAGGATAGGCTCAGTTATCAAGTGGCTAAATGAGCCTTCCCTAAATGAAGAATCATTTGGAATATCTAAAACCAGCAGGGGGGGGGAGATGTCCACTGTGATAAAAAACTCTAATCATTTTTAGAATTTTGAGTACACAAAAAGGTTGCTTGAAAAAGCATGTGACTTTGTTGTTCTGTTGGTCATTATGGGGTTTTGTTTCAAGACTTTTTTATACTTTTCAAAGCCAGTGCAAAAAAGGGAGAGACCATCCCTGATTTGCTGCATGAGTCCTTACAGTGCTCAGAAAACCGCTTGGTATCATTTAAACTCATGGGGCCAGTTACTATGACTTAAGATTTAAAGTAAGCCCAATTCAAATGGAAATTTAGTTGACCACCTGAAAAATACTGTATCTTCTTTGGACTTAAATGTTTACCTTTTGGGCACCTGGGTGGCTCAATCAGTTGAGCGTCCAGCTTCAGCTCAGGTCATGATCTCACAGCTTGCCACTTGAGACCCACGTCGGGCTCTGTGCTGACAGCTCAGAGCCTGGAGCCTGCTTCGGATTCTGTGTCTCCCTCACTCTGCCCCTCCCCTGCTAGCACGTGCACATGTGTGTGCGCGCGCTCTCTCTCTCTCTCTCTCTCTCTCTCTCTCTTGCAAAGATAAACTTAAAAAAAATGTTTATTTATTTTTTTAAATTTACGTCCCAAATTAGTTAGCATATAGTGCAATAATGACTTCAGGAGTAGAATCCACTGATTGATCCCCTACATGTAACATCCAGTGCTCATCCCAACAAGTGTCCTCCTTATTGCCCCTTGCCCTTTCAGCCCATCCCTCCACAACCCCTCCAGGGCCCTCAGTTCTCTATATTTAAGAGTCTCTAATGTTTTGCCTCCTCCCTGTTTTTATATTTTTGCTTCTCTTCCCTTATGTTCATCTGTTTTGTATCTTAAATTCCACATAGGAATGAAGTCTTACAATATTTGTCTTTCTCTGGCTAATTTCACTCCGCATAATACACTCTAGTTCCATCCATATTGTTGCAAATGGCAAGATTCCATTCTTTTGATTGCTGAGTAATACTCCATTGTCTGTGTGTGTGTATGTGTATACATATGTACATATATACACACACCACATCTTAATCCATTCATCTGTCAATGGACATCTGGGCTCTTTCCATACTTGGCTGTTGTTGATAGCGCTGCTATAAACGTTGGGGTGCATGTGCCCCTTCAAAAGAGCACGCCTGCATCCTTTGGATAAATACCTAGTAGTGTGGTTACTGGGTCGTAGGGTAGTTCTATTTTTAACTTGTTGAGGAACCTCCATACTGTTTTCCAGAGCCGCTGCACCAGTTTGCATTACCACCAACAGTGCCAAAGAGACCCTTTTCTTCCACATCCTCGCCAACATCTGTTGTTGCCTGAGTTCATTTTAGCCATTCTGACAGGTGTGAGGTGGTACCTCCTTGTGGTTTTGATTTGTATTTCCCTGATGGTGAGTGATGTTGAACATTTTTTCATGTGTCTGTTTGCCATCTGGATGTCTTCTTTGGAAAAGTGTCTCTTCATGTCTTTTGCCCATTTCTTCACTGGATTATTTGTTTCTTGGGTGTTGAGTTTGATAAGTTCCTCATAGATTTTGGATACTAACCCTTTATCTGAGATGTCATTTGTAAATATCTTCTCCCATTCCATCGGTTGCCTTTTAGTTTTGCTGATTGTTTCCTTCACCATGCAGAAGCTTTTTATCTTGATGAGGTCCCAATAGTTCATTTTTGCTTTTGCTTCCCTTGCCTCTGGAGGTATGTTGAGTAAGAATTTGCTACAGCAGAGGTCAGAGAGGTTTTTTTGCCTGCTTTCTCCTCTAGGATTTTGATGGCTTCCTATCTTGCATTTAGGTCTTTATCCATTTTGAGTTTATTTTTGTGTATGGTGTAAGAAAATGGTCCAGGTTCATTCTTCTATATGTCTCCATCCCATTTTCCCATCACCATTTGCTGAAGAGACTGTCTTTATTCCATTGGATATTCTTCCTGCTTTGTCAAAGATTAGTTGGCCATGTGTTCATGGGTCCATGAAATGTTTATCTTTTACTGTGTATTCCTCTGATGGTACAGCTACAGATAAAATGCCTTGGATAAGTTATTAATTTTTGGATACTTTTTTGAAAAAAGTTTAGCAAGAAGCACCTCGGTTATTAAGGGAAGTTTATACTAGAACCACTTACTGATAAATTGAATTTCTTCTTTCTAGTAATTGAGCTAATAACACTGTTGACATTCTGTGTCAGTAGGCAGGTTCTGTTTAACCTTTCTTGAGAAAGACTGCTGTTAATGATTTGTTTTTGGTATTATTTCAAAAATTTTTAACAGCTGACTATAGCTACTGTTACCTTAATAAATGTAAACATTTTAAGTACATTGTCCAGTTCTGCCTGTATTTATGAGCAAAAAGACATTGAAATAGGCACAATATTTAATTGCATGGTTTCCATACATATTATTGCAGTATCTGGGTTTATGATGTTTACATGCTGTGAACTGGACTTTCTCTTTTGCCCTTTTTATACCAAAAGTCAGGAAATCCAGGGGAAGTTTAGATTGCAGTTATTTCTGTATACAAGCGTAAGAGTGATTGCAGTAATAACACCGTATGAAGTATAATTTTGTATTTGCCACTTCACTGGTTCTGCCGTTGGAGAAATGGCAGCACTCTTACATTTGTCTTGCTTCTTGTGTTCTAACACCATTTGTTTTATGACTATAGTCATGGCTTTATTTCCCCGCTGAAATATTTAAGAGTAAGAGCATTTATTCCATTGTCTTCCATTCCCTTCCTCTAGATATTTGGGTTAAATGCAATCTTGTGATTGAGCTCCTTTAAATTGTGTCATGTACGGGAGACATCTGTGAAGACCTTGGGTTTGGAGTACAGAATATAAATTAAGTGAATTGCCTAAAATTGATGAAGGTTAAAAAATATCCAGTCCTTTTCTCAGTAATCAGGTGATACCAAATAAATCTCAGTCTTTGTATTGTGCTTCATTCAGCCTCCAGTTAACCTTTTTGTTGCTGATCTCTCCATGGATTTTTTTTTTAATTAAAAACTTAATTGTTTTAGAGCGGTTTCAGGTTTACGGTAAAATAAAGAGGGAGGTACCGAGATTTCCCATATGCTTCTGCCACATGAATAGCCTACGCCATTATCAGCACCACTCACTAAAGTGATACGTCTTTTGTCAAGGATGAACCTCCACTGACGCACTGTTCTCACCCAAAGCCCATTGTTTACCTAAGGATTCATTCTTGGTTGTTACACGTTCGGTGGCTTTGGACGAATGTATAATGACTTACATTTACCATTATGATACCCTACAGATCGTTCTCACTGCCCTAAAAATCCCCTGTGCTTCATCTCCCCCGCCCCAACTCCCCACCCCTGGCAACCACTGGTCTTTTTATTATCTCCGTGGTTTCGCCTTGTCCCGATTCTCTTTTAAACGAAGTCCATAGACAGCCAAAAATTCTTGGCTGTCAGGTAACCGACGGACACATTTCCTCCACTTCCAAACTTCCAGAGTTCATTTTAGATACATAGTTCAAGTTTATTTCTAGCAAGAGATCGGAGTTCCGCTTTGACAGCTGTTTGTGTTTGTTTTCCTTAGACACAGACAGCAATTCTGAGGATTCTGGGAATCCGTCAACAACCAGGTTTACAGGCTGTGGTTCTGTCAACCAGACCGTCAGTGTCAAGCCACCTGTTCAGATTGCTTCGTTAGGAAGCGACAACGGAGGCCTTCTAGGAGACCCCCTACATGCGCCCAAGTATCAGCATATTTCTTTTATGCCAACTTTACACTGTGTCATGCACAATGGTGCCCAGAAGTCTGACGTTGTCGTCCCTCCACCCAAATCCGCTGACGGCAAGACAATAGGGATGCTTGTTCCCAGTCCCGTTGCGATTTCTGCAATAAGGGAGTCCACGAATTCTACCCCTGTTGGAATACTGGGGCCAACGGCTTCTACCGGAGAATCCGAAAAACACCTCGAATTACTGGCTTCCCCTTTACCTCTTCCGTCGGCGTTCCTCCCGCACAGCAGCGCCCCTGCTCTGCACCTGACAATTCAGAGGCTAAAGTTGCCGCCGCCGCCACAGGGGTCCTCCGAGAGTTGCCCGGTTAACATCCCGCAGCAGCCACCCGCGAGTCTGAGCATCGGATCACCAAACACTGCCTTTATCCCTGTCCATAGCCCAGGTGGTTTTCCGGGATCTCCTGTGGCTACCACGGACCCCATCGCAAAATCTGCATCCCAGGTGGTAGGACTCAATCAAATGGTGCCTCAAATCGAGGGAAACACTGGGACAGTCCCTCAGCCTACCAACGTGAAGGTAGTTCTCCCAGCAGCCGGCCTTTCGGCCGCACAGCCACCAGCTTCCTACACCTTGCCGGGCTCCCCGCTTGCTGCCGGCGTGCTGCCCAGCCAGAATTCCAGCGTGCTCAGCACGGCGGCGGCGGCGGCGGCGGCCCAGTCCGCGGGTGCGGGCATCAGTCAGGCCCAGTCGGTTCCTCCCGCGGTTCCCACCCACACCCCAGGCCCCGCCCCCAGCCCGAGCCCCGCTTTGACGCACAGCACCGCGCAGAGCGACAGCGCGTCTTACATCAGCGCGGTGGGGAGCACGAACGCTAACGGGACAGTATTGCCGCCGCCGCCGCAGCAGATGGGCTCGGGTCCTTGCGGTTCTTGCGGGCGAAGGTGCAGCTGCGGGACCAACGGCAGCCTTCAGCTGAACAGTTACTATTATCCCAACCCGATGCCCGGACCAATGTACCGAGTCCCGTCGTTCTTTACTCTGCCATCCATCTGCAACGGCAGCTACCTCAACCAAGCACATCAGAGCAATGGAAACCAACTTCCTTTTTTTCTGCCTCAGACTCCGTATGCGAACGGCCTGGTGCACGACCCGGTCATGGGGAGCCAAGCCAACTACGGCATGCAACAAATGGCGGGGTTTGGGAGATTCTACCCTGTGTATCCAGCACCTAACGTAGTTGCCAACACGAGCGGTTCGGGGCCCAAGAAGAACGGGAACGTTTCATGTTACAACTGCGGTGTAAGCGGGCACTACGCACAGGAGTGCAAGCAGTCGTCCATGGAGGCCAGTCAACAAGGTAATCATGAGAGCTCCCAGAGGACTTGTTTTTGAGTGTGCCCGCTTCTCCCCACCTCACTGAGCGCGGGGAGCCTGTTGTGGCAGAAGGAGCTGGTGTGTGCTCACTTACGGATGGTGTGCTTTCAGTGACAGATCGTTCAGAGGCAAATGGGAAAACATAGCGTAGACTCGGGCCACCCAGCGCGAGGGAGTTGAGGAATTCAGTTTCCAGTGAGAGCCTAAGAACCGTTGAGGCACTTTTGAAGGAATGTGATGGGAATTTGTGTCACATGATAGCAGATCTCTTGTTTGCAGCACTTTTTTTTTTTTTTTAAGCTACAGTCCTGTTTTGTAGAGTAAGTGAAATTTTTAAATAGGAAGAAGTGGGAAGTAATTCTAGTCACCCGACAGGTATGATTGTTAGTTACAGTGTGATACACGTATGCACAGCCCGGCTGGCCCCATGCACACCCCCCCCCCCCCCCCCCGCTCCCCACCACGCTGCCTCTTCCCTTCCCAGCAGATGCTTAAAAAAAGATGCTTAATGCGTTTTAAGGAACAAAATATTTAAGCACTGGTTTGGGAGCAAGGGAGTTAGCTTGAACTCCGTTTAATGTTCTCGCCACCAGGAACAAGAAAGATGGTCTTAAATAAGTAGGAGTAAGATCACAAACTCAGCGTAGACGTCAGACTGTTCTCTCTCACTTGGATTTGGCTTTTGTCAGTTTTGCCAAGTCTCATCCAGAAAAGAAGTCTTGAAGTGCGAATGTGTATTTAGCATTTTGAAAGGAAGATTGGGTTTGCTAGCTTTAGGTTGGACTTAAAGCACAAACTTCCTCTTACTTTGGAAGGTAATCCTGTGTGCCATTTGGGACCATAGTAGTGCGGAGGAAGCTGCCTTCTGGCGAGCATGCCCTTTTGTTATCTTGTAGTGGTTTGTGATGCATTGCGTTGTAAGCAGTGACTTAGCAGTTCTGTCTTTCCCGTTTTAGGCACTTACAGACTGAGATACGCACCTCCCCTCCCCCCTTCTAATGATACGTTGGATTCTGCAGACTGAAACGCGTAAAGCTTGACTGCTTAATACCCTGACGTGTTGGGGAGTCATGGTGGGGTGTGGAGGGGAGGAAAGGAAAGGTATTTTGTTTGTGTTTCTTTGTCTATACATTTCCTAGATTTCTATGCACTTGGGGTTTTTCATTTCTGTTGTACTGATGTCCAAAACAAAAAGAACGCGTTGCTTTTGAGCCTCTGGTCTCCTGGTTCAACAACAGGCTTATCTGTATGATACATGTAATTTAAACCTCCAAACTATCAAAAGGAAAATGTTTGCTGTGCTTTTTTTTTTTTTTTTACACTGAATACTTGCTGTGTGCAATGTTTACTGAATCTTTAAAACTGTGTATTTGACCTTTTTTCTTTTTTTTTTTTTTTTTTTTACAACACTGGTGACAGTCATATGGTTTTGAAAAAGAGAAACTTTGCTTCTTCCCAGCTTTTCTCACTTTCACCGCAAAGGACACACGTCTCCCCGCCACCCCCTTTCCTGTGGCCTGTAAATCCAGGGTGAAGTGCTTCACCTTCATCTGAGAGGAGAAATCAAGTTCCCCAAATCGTGTGTATATATGTAATAAACAGCATCACGTAAATACATATATGCAGTGCTTGTTGTCCAAATCAAAATTCAAGTTAAGTGGAAGAGAGCGGAAGAAGTAAAACCATATGAAACTGAAAAAATATGATGTATGAAGCGGACAAAGAGCTTTTTCTTAAAAAAAAACAAAACAACAACAAAAAAAGTTTTTACTTCGTCATACTTTTTTAGCCTGTTGCTTCAGAGAGACATAAAGTGAACAAACGTGTGAGTGTTGTGTGTGTGTGTGTGTGTGTGTCTGTGTGTGTGTGTGTCTGTGTCTGTGTCTGCGATGAAAGTCGACGGCTGATCTCTCTTGTAGTCTGTCACCGTGTCGTGCTAAAGAGACACTACCGGAGTAAAGATTGCTTCTTTTCTCACGCCGACTGTAGCAGTGATACGTTGTGTTCGAGATGTGTGTGGTCTGTTGCAGTCCGAGCGGAAGCTCTGGTTTCTGCGAAAGTCAGGTTCGTTCCCTAACCCGTCTCTCTCGTCGCAAAGTCACTTTGATAAGTTTCCCACTCTGCGTGATCATAATGTGAAAGACTGGCTTCCGAGTGTGTTCAGACAGTAGTAAGCATGTCTGTGTCCTGTCACTAATTTTAATGCTGCTGTTTTTAAAAAAAAAAAAAAAAAAAAAAAAAAAAAGTTTTTTTTAAAGCCAATCTATGTACTAAATTGCTTCCAGGTAATTTTTGATTTCCTAAAGTGCACTGAGATTATCTGGAAGCCTTGGGTGTATTTTTGGAACTGCTGCATTCAACAGCGATGAGCATCTGCCCCCGTACAGTCAGGGGTTCAGGGTCGGGCTGGTTTTGTTTTCCCATTCCTCAGTCCAGAGCAGAAGGGATAGATTCGTGTCGTGTGGGGCAATGTCAGTGCCCAGCAGAGGAACTTAAATACTTGGTCTGGGTTCAGAAGCCCAACAGATTGCTAGATAAAAGGAAAAACTTGAAGAAAAGAGAAGCTTCATTTAATGCTTCATGGGTAGCATTTATATTTATAACAGCAATGTACATTTTGAAACTAACTTTCAGGGTGGGAGTTCGGGGGGAAGGGAAAGGGGTGGGTGTCAAGGGGTAGATGAAAGTTTTAATTTAAAGAAGAAAGTTCGCATAAAGGAAATTATTTTGATTAAATATATTTTATTTGATCTGGGTATTTTTGGACCACATTATTAAATTAATTGCTAAGCTGCCGTTGAGTTGTTCCAAGTGAGAGTTTTGATGAGCCACGTATGGGCCGTGTTGGGAACCACTTGCCAGTTGTACTTTATGGAGCTTATTTTATGATTTAAAATACTGTACTGTATATAGGAGGTATGTTACCTTCTCCTTATTTGTATGTTTACCATATACTTTGATATTTGAAATGTTATGTACTGGAAAGGCCACTTATATTTCTAGAACAGATTGGATTTTATGCAACCCTTTTTCCTTGAATTAACAGCAATAAAAAAAATGAAAAACAGCTTAAGAATTGTGGTTTATTGCAGATTTTGTAAAAATGAAAAGGAGGAGGGCCTCACACACGGTGATTTGTTTTTTCTTTTTCACGAATCGAGCCGTTTTCCCCTGGGACGTGGGGCGGCAAATCCCAAAGTTTCTTTAGCACCTGGATGTTCTTCAGTTTCTTCTCCAGCAGCCTTGCTTCGGAGGTCACCTGTGTGACCACGAAGAGGAGAGACTGTTTCCGGGCCCACCGAGCGCACGCCGCGTGCCCAGAGCTGTGTTTCTGGTTGAGGCTTCCCTCCCCCAAAGTGTAGAGAACACGATTTGCTTTTGCAGATTCATTACGATGGTGTTTTTCCGGGCGACTCTCCGTGCGTTATTGACTAGCTTTTATTTCACCGGTTCTGTTGGCCGTGACCCAGTCTCCAGTCCGTTTTTACGCAGTCAGTAATTTACGGGGAGACCCTTTCCTTGTGTGCACCATACAGTCACATCTGGTATGGCGGTCCCTGAGGTCTCGTCGCGTGGCCCAGGCCCTGTCTGTCCTATGGTTGTCCCCCAGCATTCATGCAATAGTGGGCACTCAAGGGCTCCAGCTGACCAGGCAGCAGACGATTGTCCAGAGGCATCTAATGAATGTCCCCTCTGGCCCCATTCGGACGGTGGGTTCCAAATGATCACAGCATTCCCGAGGCCCCAGCCCTCCCCTTCTCCCCTTCGGCTGGCACCTGTGCACCTAGACGTGGGACACGCAAGCTGTAAGCCACCTTCACGTTAATGCGCAGGCCGCCCGTGTCCTTACCTGTGTCCCCTCCTCCCTCCTTTTCTGCCTCTGCACCAAGGAGCCCACGACTGTAAACTTTATCGTCCCCATGCCCTTCCCCTCACATGTCACATTCTCCTCCCTCACACACCGTGTACTACTTTTCTTGAGCTTTATGGAAAAGGGGTCTCGTACGTAGTCTTGCATGACTGTCTCTACTGGTTTGGGGTCCTGATGTTACATTCCTGCAGTGTATTCATTGTCTCCAACTTTCCACTGTTCTGTTGTGTCTCATGGGGGAAGAACACAAACACACAATTTCCATTCTGTCCACAAACATGTGGGTGCTTTTTTTTTTTTTTTGCTCTCACTGGAGCGTGTTTGTACCATCTCCTGGTTCGTGCGTGCGAAGGTTCTTTAGGATATAAATCCAGGAGTGCCAAGTGCTGGGTTGTAAGACACACAAAAATGCTCAGTTTTCCAGGATTTGCCAAATTGTTTCCCAAGTGGTTTACACTCGTGCCGACAGCATCTGGTCCCTCAGTCCGTATCCTGACACCCTCCTGCATGGAGGTGACGGTGCCATGGAAGGCTTGGCATGGGAGGGCCAAGCATACCCTGGAAGAGCCCATGTCAGGCTCTGTGGAGGAGGGGAGTGTGGAGAGGGGCAGGGTCCGGATGGTCCCAGTGTAGAAGAGGGGACGCAAGGCAAGGCTCGGGAATGGAAGCGACTGTGTTTTGTGGGAGGATGAGACGAAGGCCGGTGTAGGAGATGGATCATATGGAAAGAGTTGTGAGGTGTGTGGTTCAACAGGTAAAATAGAGTCAAGCTGGAGACTTTGAGGTCAGTTGAAAAATTAGAAATTACCAAGTTTCAAGTAGAGGAAGAACACGTTAATGATGGTACAGTAAAAACTTGGCTCGCGAGCATAATTCCGGAAACATGCCTGTAATCCAAAGCACTTGTATATATCAAAGTGTGTTTCAGGAACCATTGACTCGGTTGCGATCATGTGGTGTTTGGCCGAATGTACGACTTGTATGGCAAGACATCACTCATTCATCAAGTTAAAATTTATTAGAAATGTTTGCTGGCCTTGTGGCACGCTCGCAGAACAAGTTCCTCGCAATCCAGGGTTTTACGTATTTAAAGAAACGTGGATGGTTGAGGAAAGAAAGTCTGGCCGTTCGAAGGCTGGTTAGGGCACCGGTGAGGCAGCGGGAAAAGTGGAGACAGAAGGAGGCGAGGGGAAGGAGCCTGGGGCCTCTGAGCTTTATTTTCCCCAGAGAGGAAATGAGACTTTATTTTAAATTATAGCCATGAGGGTCAAATGAAATCACACGTGCGAAAGTTCGAACGTAATGAAATAGCGCCAAGGAGGCACGCCGATGTCTGTTGAATTCTTTTTTGATGAACAGGAGAATTGCACCGGTTGAGAGACCTGGAAACGCGGAGGGGAACTGAATCTAGGAGGAAGGGGTGGTGAGGAACCTAGCAAAACACAGTTCTGCATTACGTTGGACTCAGTTATTTCAGCTCTGTCCACTGATAAAAGACCCCAAATATTCCCTGTCCTCAAAAATTAACTCTAGTCGGAGAGCCTACCAACTAATGGCGGCTGTGGGCTGAGTCGTGCGGTTCTGATTATTCGATACTGGAGTAGAATAAGTTCGTTCACAAGGCAGATCCACATTTAACTTTTCACGTAAGTGCTAAAAATCCAGTTTTTCTGACAAGGTTCCAGAAAGATGAAAGCACGGTGTAAATTTTTTTTTTTTTTTTTTTTTTGACAGGTAGCATCTAGTACTTAAAAGCATCATCCATTTGAGCTTGGAAGACGTCTTTTTTCAATTCTACATACTGGTTACAAAAGCACTCTAAGGTTGTTAAGGCAGTGAAGCCGAATGGAGGCAAGCGGTGACAATAGTTCGACCCCATAACCCTTCCATCGCTTCATCTCCAAAGAATAAAGAAAAATGCTGACTTCCCCCACCCTGGCCACCCCACAGAAAGGGCCATTTATTTTCAGAGAAATGAGGAGTGGGGGAGTAAGTGAGGAAGAGGGAGTAAAGCTCTGACTTTAAACGTGGTCGCCGTATCTCCGGACCTTCCTTTGGGGGGGCAGGTGGTGAAGGGGCAGAGGGGCCGGCTCTTATGAGCATGAAGGGCTCTGGGGTCCCAGGTGTCAACTCAGGTGTACCTATCACAAGGACCATGCACAGGGGGGCAGCGCTGTCCCCCAGAGAATGCCCATTAGCACATTGGCTTTAAGCAGTTTGGATTCCGAAGGTCCATCTAACGTCAGCATTTGTTCACTGCTTACAACACAGCATTTGTGCCTGTTAACATGCAAGTATCTTGAGACACTGACCTAATTCTTAAATGCATTCCTCCTTTGAAAACTGTGAGCCCTCTGGATTGGAGCGTGGGTACATGTTGCCTGACCTCTGTGTGTGTTTGCAAATGTCTGTCCATCTTGGGAACGCAGAGGCTGTAGGCTTCGAAATTTTCTGCTCTGGAGACTGGGGCACATCACAGACGGCATCAAAGACCCTTCTTCCCAAAATCTACCTCTTGTGCAGCGACAGTAGTTCTCGCTCACCAGAGCTGTTAATCCTCAGATCCCGTTTTGCTACTTGAAATTTGGGGGGTGGGGTGGGGTGAGGTGGGGGGCCGGGTGGCTCTTCATGTTTTTTTTCTTCGTCTTGCAGCTCCAACTTAATCCGCTGTAAAAGGAGGTCTCAGCCAGCCTCCCTCACCAGAAGAAATTGCTAATTGGGAAGCAGCGTCACCTGGTGGGGGACAAGGACGATGCAAGCAAACGGATGTTCTTTCCCACTGACCTAACATAGAGAAAATTGAACGTAAGACAGAAAACATTTGAGACTGTAAGCCTGTGCCCAAAACCGTAAAGAATGCAGGCAGCTGGCCATAAATGTAACTTGAGCAGTCTCCTCTTTCAGCGACCGCATTCTCAATTTATCACAAACATCTTAATCCAGTACTGCTGGAACTTCACAGTTTCCTCTGCACTTTCCCCTGTGCTCATTGGGCAGCACAATGTGAAGGGTATGGGATCTTCCTCCTTCCAGTCTTACAGGTCAGGAACTCGGGGTTCAGAAGCGGTGAGTGCCACAGACACGCCGACGTCCTCGTTGGCGACCAGCCCCAGCCTCACATTGGTGCTTTATCTCACGTGCTGCTTCCTGCCCCCCCACTGGTGCTTCTCCGCTCAGCCAGGGGCAGTGACTTGTTCAGCCTTGTAAAATGAGAGAGACCACCCTGGGGCCCCTGGATTGCTGAGAGAAGACGGGGCCCAGGCCCGGTCAGTCCAAACGTGTCTTTTCTGTGTCTCGCTGAGGGACTTGAAGACGTGGGATGAGGGAAGGTTTTCAGAGATGGGAAACCCCGGGACTTTCAGAGCTGGGCTTTAAGCATCCGCCTGTCTCAGATAAATTCGGGGAGCAGCAGCTCTCACCTACATGCACTAAACATGCAAATACCTCTCTTGAAACACTGAGCTTTAAATTATCCCCAGGTGTCTCGATAAGTTGAGCATTACACAAATGTTCCATTCATTGCAAGCCTACAGAACTGCAGAAATGGAGCAGCAGGGCAAGCAGGAAAGGCAGGCCTGCCGCTGTAACCTGGCACGTCCCTTGCCTGCTGGGTGCCTTCCTCACGCACACTTGTGTAAGAGGCGGCGTCCGTCTCGATCTTGTTCCAGCGCCCGCCCACGGCACACGTGGCCTTTCTCGGGTTTACTTACAGAGCGGAGATAATGTTCACTCTGTAAAATAGTTGCAGAGGTTAAATCCGGCAACATCCATAAAGCTAAATGTGACACACAGCAGGTGCTCGAGGAATTCATGATAGCTAACGCCTTAATGCCCATTAGAGGCCAAGACACCGTTAGCCCACGTAAGCATCCAACAAGCCTGGGAGGCAGGTGTTCTGCCCCGCTTTGCAGCTGGGGAGATGGCACGGAGGCCAAGTACCCGAGGGCACAGAGCAGTTGCGTGACACAGTGGGATTGGAACCCGCGGCCCTCCCTCCTGGGCGTCTCCACTGCTTTGTGCCCACGTCTCCGGATTTTTGTAGGCCCGTCAGTGTGATTCTGCGGGGCTTCCGGCGACAGGATCGGACAAGGGGGACTCGCAGGCAGGCTCCGTCTTAGCCTCTGTCACCTCAGAACAACCAGCCCTCCTAGACCTTTCTTTTTCTTATCTGAACGCTGAGTGCTTGGTTGGGAAAGGGTGGTAGAAATTGAACGAAATGATCTCAAGATTCTGTGACTTGAAGCTTGCTTTTTTCACTTTAAAAGGTTTATCAAAGTTTTCTAATTCTTTGCCTTTACACTTACTTTTGGCTTAACCGATTTGAAGGCCCTGTTGCGGGTGGTCAGGAACACAAACCCCAACCCCAGCCGTCTCCGTGTGCTGATGGGAGGGGAGACTGTTTTCTGGGCCCTTGGGGGGTAAGAGTTCCGAGAGAAGACCTCAGGCGAGGCTACCCAGTCTCTAGATGGCAGCACGAACAGTTCTGGCTGTATGCCATCTACCTGAAGAGTAGTTTCTGTTTCTCCTTACCCTCTAGCGTGACGTTTCTGGGTTCTTCTCTACTCGTAAAGTTTTCATTTGCGGGCCTTTGAGTCAAAAAATAAAGCTCATATATACCGAGTCTTGTGCCAGAGGACACGAGGTTGAACATAGCTCTCAGACTGGCAACCCGTAAGGTCCACAGATAAGGTCCCTGACACGTGCAAAGTATGTGAAATTCAAATTTCAACGTCTACAAATTAAGTTTATTGGAACACAGCCACTCATGTACGAGTCATGACGGCTGCTTTCGTCCTACATTGGCAAAGTTCAACAGTTACACCAGAGCCTGAAATCCTTACAATCGGTCTGAAAAAAGGTTGTGTACCCCTGACCTCTATCGACCTCCTCTAAATAAAAATGCACTTTCCAAGGTCTTTAAGGTTCCAACGTGGGAGTGTAGGAATTTACACTCTGTCCTTTTGGTGCTGTGTCCTCTTAGCGCAATAAAAGCATCTGGTGCTTGAGGAGGCCTGCACACATTTAGGCAGCCGCTTAGCAAACACCTCTTGGCTGGGACCTCAGAGGGTCCTAAGGGGCGCAACTAGCTGTGACGGGGTGACAAGCGTGGGATCACAGGGACTGGAGAGGTGAACTCCGCCTGCCAAGAACTGGGGGAGGATTTTCAAAGGCACAACGTCTTCATTGGGCCGAGAAGGACGAAGTCCGATGTTCCCTGGCAAAGAGGGGAGACTTGGCAAGGCAAAGAGAACCGCATGACCACACATGGGTCTCGGAAGACACACTGCCACGGAGGGTGTGTGTCGGGCCAGGAGCTGAGAAGGCAGGCGGAGCTAGCGGGAGCCCGCGGGGGGGAATGTCGGTGGGTCGCGTGTGGAATGGTTGGCACGACGGAGGAGCGGGCCTATCCCGCACCCGGGAGGGAGGCGGGAGAAGCAGGTCGCCAAGAAAATCAGGAGTTGTTTTGCTCACTGGTGAGCTTGTGGCGCTTAGTGACACGTGCTAGTCCCGCGCTGGTCTCAAAGATCACCTGCTGCAGTCACCTGAAGGGTTTAAATAAAAACACATGTCCCCTGGACTCGCCCTTCCTTACCCAAACTCAGATCTACAGAACGGGAGTTCCTGTTTGGGAAGAGTTTGGGGAGTGGGAGCAAAGCAGAGCCGTCAAAGAAGGTTGAGAATGAGAACCCCGAAGTACCCGAAGATGGAGAGAGCGAGGGTGTGCCCTTAATGAGGCCCCCCCCCCCCAAAAGAATTGGCCATCACTGGCAGGTGCAGCAGGGATCAGGAATCGCGGCCAGTGCGGGGGTCGCCCGGGCTGGGCCGATGTTTCCTAGAGAAGGGGCGCGGGGTGGCAGGGGGAAAGGGACCGGCGTGGAACGGGAGCCGACGGGCGCCGGGGAAGCCGCGTCGCCGGGCTCGGCTGGGGGTGCGCAGCGCAGCGGCGGGACCCTCCCTACCGCCGTAGGGAGTCGGGGGCGGGGAGCGGGGCTTCCCCGCGGAGACCGTGCGTTGGCTCCACCGCCGCGGCCTTTCCTTCCTCCCGTCCCTCCGCCGCCTCCCGCTCGGGCCTGAGCGCGGGTCCGCGGCCGGCAGGGGGCGCTGCCGCGGCCGCGGGCCTGGCTCCCGGCGGCCGCGGCCTCTGGTCCCCGCTAGGTCCCCGGAGGCCCCCACCCGGTCCACAAGCCACCCCTGAGCCTCACGCCACCGGGGGACGGAAGAGAGTCCCCGGGCCACCGGAGGAGCTGTCTTTTTACGGGCTGGGCTCGATGCAGGAGCAGCGAGGCCTACAGGGAAGCCACATCTGACTCCGGGGGATTTATGGTAATAGGAAAAGGTGAGTGGCTGAACTTTGCCTTCGGGACAGCAGGGGTGAGGGGAGGGAGGGCAGCTTGCCTGACAGAGGAGCACGAACTCCGTTTCTGGGGCAACGTTGACACCGCTAGGCAAGCACTTTGCAAGCATTTCGGGAGGATCTAATTACTAACCAACAAATGATACCATACGTCTGTTTTTAGGGAGGTCCCTGGACAGTCTTTTAAACTCCGTCTAATTGCTCATTTTCTTTAAAGGCAATGTGACATAAGTGATCGTCAAAGTCTAGTTTGAATCCTAAAACGGCCACTTGAGCTGGAGCCTCGTCCAAGTAAGCGCCCTTACCTGAACATACAGGTTGCAGGCGTGTCCACGGGGCACTGTGAGGGTTAATACACTCAAGCGATAATGCACTCCCTAGCCTACAGGGAGCTCTAACACATCGGTACATTCCCTTCAGAAATGTTTTCCTATTCCAAACCCGCCTTCCTATTTTAGGGCCTTTCAAAGTTAGGAATGCCTCTTTTCTGTGGACCAGACTGCACTTTGTTTTGTTTATGTTAACCGTTTTTATTCCATACAATCATTCTCTACATGCATTTTATAGCTTTCCTTTTTATGACGGATGAGCCAATATTGAAACTTGGCTACTAAGGCCCCTGGTTTACGGCCGGTTCACTGCTGTGTCGTGCATTCTGTGGGTTTTGACAAATGTATGACATTTTGGCCCCATTGTATCTTACAGAGTAGTTTCCCTGCCCTCTCCCCCATGCTCTGCCTACTCATCCTTCCCTCCCATCCCCAGCAACCAGTGATCATTCTCTTGTCTCCATGGTTTTGCCTTTTCCAGAATGTCATCTAGTTGGATTCATACAGCACGTAGCCTTTTCAGATCGCCTTGTGAAGTAATTCACATTTAAGGTCCCTCCGTGTCTGTTCGTGAAATGATAGTTCATTTCCTTTTTTGCTGAAGAATCCATTGCCTGGATGGACCACAGTTTATTTATCCATCCACCTACTGAAGGATATCTTGGTTGCTCCCAGGAGTTGGCGATTATGAGTGAAACTGCTCTAAACGTCCGTGTGCAGGGTGTATATGGACGTACATTTTCAACTTATGAGTAGATACCAAAGAGTGCAGTCGCTAAGCCGCATGGTAGGATATGTCTAGTTTTCTAAGGAACTGTCGAACTGTCTTCCATTTTGTATGACTTCCATTTTGCTTCCCCGCCAGCAGTGAATGGGAGTTCCTGCTGTCCTCATCAGCAGTTGTCAGTGCTTTGGATTTTAGCCATTCTAGTAAGTATGTAGTGGTAATTATTGTATGAATTTGCAGTTGCCTAATGACATACAACGTGGAGCGTCTTTTCATATGTTTGTCATCTTTTTTGGTGAGGTGTCTGTTCAGATCTTTCGCTGATTCTTAAAAGCTGGGTTGTTTGTTTTCTTATGCTGACTTTTAAGAGTTCTTTGTATACTGTGGATATTAATATTTTGTCCAGTACGAGTGTTGAAAATCTTTGTCTTTTCACTCTGTTTCTGCTTTGTTCTTTCCACTGCAATGAAAGGGAAATGTGGGAATGTTAAGGGACAGAAACCAGTCAGAGGGCTTCACTCTGTCTTTACATTTGTCGGATGCCACACCGAGCAGTCCCCAGTGGCACTTCCTGGTGCATTCATCAATGTGCCAGAAATGGATTCCTCAGTGTTTGCCGAGCCCTTGACCCAGAGCTGGCACAGGTCACTTGGCAGTGGGTGTAGACCCTGGGGGCATCCAAGTCACTTCCATGTAGGGACAGCCAGGCACTTTCAGGGGGCTTGGCCACTGCTGACCCCTTTTATTCTTTGCCCGGAAGACAGAAATCGTGGGCCTCCAGTGACGTGCCCCCCCATAACTTCTTCAACCTTATTTGGGACACAAAAGCTGAGTTCCTCCGCGATTTATTTATAGAGACATGAGTAGTAAAAGAAGAAGTAAGCCAGTTTTTAAATGCAGGCTTCAAGCGGGGGCTGCAGGTGTGGCCTGTGGCTCCTCAGTGCATCTGTGACTCCTTTCTGGAACACCCCCCCCCCACACACACACACAGACCTTCGTAGGGCCTTGGCAGAACAAAAGACAATAAGCTAGACCGTTAATCCTGTCTGCTTCCCACAGGATGGAAAATCAGTGCGTGGGCCGTGAAAGGGAAGTCCAGCCTCACGGAGGGGCTTTTCCTGTGGGTCTCCAGAACATTCCTCCCACCCCACCCACCTCATGACAAACTGAGGCAATGTCCTAATGCTTCCGGATAACAAAGCGTCTGAGGCTCTCAAGTTCAGTGTGAAAATACGCACATGTTCGGCTGTATTGGAAAGCACGGCAAAGAGAAAGTGAGATTCTCCGCAGTGTGTATGGCCCCAGGGAAAACAAATCATTGTGCAAAGCTGGTTCTGAATCCCAGCTCCCTCCTAAATCGGACTTTCCGCCTAATGGAAAGTGGAGGTGTGTTTGCTGTGGCAATTCATTCTTGATTGAATACGGTTGGAAAAGTCCAGTGAAAGTGGCAGAATGCAGTGGGCTAGGGGCTTATCCCAGGGCCCTCCGCGCGCCGTCTGGGGGGGCCTGAGAAACGTGCACTCCAGGGTCCACCCGGCCCCACAGTGCAGCATACCTGGGAGGGGTGGGGGGGGGCTGAGCGGGGACATCTCATAGGCTTCCGGGCTGCTCAGATGTGCACTGATTTTGAAAATCATGAAGTTAAAAGCACAGAGTTTAGAAACTTAAAACCTGGATTTAGATGCGATGTCCCGAGGCTTCAGAATAGCTAAGTATCTTTGAAGTTCAGTATTCATTGAATATGAATTAATTCAATATTAATTTTTTTTTCAACATTTATTTATTTTTGGGACACAGAGAGACAGAGCATGAACGGGGGAGGGGCAGAGAGAGAGGGAGACACAGAATCGGAAACAGGCTCCAGGCTCTGAGCCATCAGCCCAGAGCCCGACGCGGGGCTCGAACTCACGGACCGCGAGATCGTGACCTGGCTGAAGTCGGACGCTTAACCGACTGCGCCACCCAGGCGCCCCAAATTAATTCAATATTAATTGTGGGCCTACAGTGTTGCCTCATAATTCCTTGAACCTTATGTGGGACACAGAAGACTGAGTTCCTCCTTGTTGTATTTGCAGAGACACGTGGAGTAAGGATAAGTGAGCCAGTTTTTAAGCTGAGGCTTCCTGTAGGAGTTGCAGCAGCCGTGTGACTCTGGACAAATATGTAAGTACCTTAATTAAGCTACCGAAAGTACTGAGGCTAAAGTGTTTGCGACACGCGCTAAAACGTACGAGAGCTTCTCTGAAGATAAGGAAAAGGGGTCTCAGAAAGTATAGACCGTCCTTCTCTTCTGCTACTGTGTTTTATTCCATAGGAGGTAATGGTAATGACAAGGTTTTGATCCTTATCATGCACCGGGCATTATCCTAAGCACTCCATGCCTTATTTAATCCTCAAACAATCCTTTGAAATAGGTGATGATTATGATACCCATTTTATAGATGAAGAAGCTGAGGCAGAGAAAGGTTAAGCAGCTGGCTCATAGTCACACAGCCAATAAGGTGCCGAGTCGGGGTTTGAACGTGGGACCCCGGAGCCTGGAGCCCTCCCGTCTCCTTGGGTCTGCAGCCCGATAGTAAACCGAAGGAGGAAAATTGCAGTCCACTTCCTGGGCAACAGGGGGAGTCTAGTTCCCCTTTAGCAACCATATGGTGAGAATGTTCAAATAAATATTATTCCGGAGCCTACAGCAGAGCTTTCTCTGATGAGAATTACAAATTGTATCCTTCTTGAGATGCTTACAGTCTAAACCTGAGACGCCCAACTTGGTAGCCACTAGCCACAGGCGGCTGTTTAGGTTTAAATGAACTGATCAGTGGAATATGAGAGTCCAGCTATAGACCCCACACAGACACCAAACACTGATCTTCAATAAAGGGACAAAGGTGATTCAGTGGACAAAGGGTGACCTTTTCAACAAATGGTACTGAAACAATTGTATATTCATATTGGAAAAACTGAACAATCCCCGCCTTGCCCCATATGCAAAGTAGTGCATTTAACGGTCCATTTAACTCAAAATGGACCATACATCGAAAGGAAAAAAGATCTGTAAAATTTACAGATGAAAACGTAGTGAAAAAACCTTTGCGACTTTGGGCTAGGCAAAGATTTCTTAGGTGCTCCACTGAAAACATGACCCATAAGAGACTAAATTAAACTGGGCTTCCTCAGAATTAAAACTCCCCTCTTTGAAAAACACACAGAAATTAAAAAGACAAGTAATCACCTGGGAGAAAATATTTGCACATCACGTATTTGATAAGGGACTTGCATCTAGAATATGTAAAGAACCTTCAAAACTCTGTGATAAGAAAACAATATAATACAAAATGAACACTTCACCGAAGAAGATATACCAATGCCAAATAATCCCATGAAATGATACTCAACATCATGAGACAGCAGGGAAATAAAAATTAAAACCGCAATGAGAGGGGTGCCTGGGTGGCTCAGTCGGTTAAGCGTCCGACTTTGGCTCAGGTTATGATGGCGCAGTCTGTGAGTTCAGGCCCCTCGTCAGGCTCTGTGCTGACAGCTCGGAGCCTGGAGCCTGCTTCCAAGTCTGTGTCTCCCTCTTTCTCTCTCTCTCTGCACCTCTCCCACTCGCACTCTATCTGTCTCTCTCTGTTTCTCAAAAATAAACATTAAAAAAAAAAAACAGCAATGAGATACCCCTATAGACCTGTCAGAATGGCTCCAATTATTGACTGATCATACCCGTTGTTGGCCGGTTCGTGGAGGAACAGGCGGGAATGGTACCACCACTTTGGAGAAGTTTGCCTGTTTCTTAACAAGGTAAACAAAACACCCACCATGATCCAGCCATTCTACTTATAGGAATTTACCCAAGAGAAATGAAAGCCTATGTCTCTGCAAAGATTTGTGCAAGAATGCTCATAGCAGCTTTACACGTTCATTGCCAAAAAGTGGAAACCACCGAAAAAATCCATCAACAGGTGACCTTGTGGCATCTCCACATAATTAAATATTATTCAGCAATAAAATGAAACCAACAGAGACCACGTGGGTGAATCTCAAAATAATTTTGCTGAATGAAAGAAGCCAGACCCCCCCCCCCAAAATATATATATATACAGAAGGCATGATTCCATTTACGTTATATCCTAAGGAATGCAAACTAATCTCTAATGACAGAAAGCGGAACAGTGCTTACCTGAGTGTGTGCATGGGGGGTGGGGGTGGGGGCAACGACAAAGGGATATAAAGGGGTGGCATGAGGAAACTTCTGGACATGCTCTGCATATTCACTATTGTGATTGTGCTAATGCTTTCCCAGGCACATGTGTCAAAACATCAATTTTTACACTTCACTTGCAGTTCATTGATGCCTTTTATACCTCAAAATAGCTGTTGAAACTCTTAAATGTTTAAATAAAATTTAAAATTCAGTTGCTCTAGCCGTATATCCAGTGCTCAATAGCCTCATGTAGCTAGTGGCCACCGTATTGGATGAGAACATTCCCGTTATAGCAGAAAGTTCTATCCCACAGTGCTGGTACAAACACAGCATCTCCTGCCCCAGGCTGGCAGGAAGTTCTACTAAAAAGGAACGTTTCTTCTGGCCAAAGAGCCCACTGCCCCTTTTGTCTACAGAGCAAAATGGATGGTGGAGGGGAGGGACATTTGTCACAAGCAATCGTCTGCCATCAGGACAGGCCATTAGAAAGGGGCCAGGTGGCAGGTGCTGCTGGAGGGTAGGGAAAGGGGGTAGGGAAACCTCAGGATGAGCTCTGAGGCTGGGGAGACCTCCTGCTAAGTGACTTGGGAGGAGGAGAGGGAGGAAGGGGAGGAGGAGGGAGGGGCGCAGAGGTAGCACTGACAAGTGGCAGAATCCTAGAAAGCTCGTCTCCTCTAGCAATGGATCTTTTGGTTCAAACTGGACGAGGGAGACAGGACCCTGGACGGGAAGGGATGGGGCCGGATCTCAACAGGATTAAAGACAAAAAGCCACAGCCGGGAGAATCCAGGTCTCCTGACGCTGGGAATCTAAGGTGTTGGTGATTAGGAAACTAAGTAGACTTGTGATTGTGTGAGGACTGTCGAGCACGCCCCTTTCTTCAGTCGTACCGTTTGGGAGCACAGGTATCTTGCTCTCTACCTGTGTTCCTCAGACTCCATGCACCCTTAGGTGACCTACCTGTCCAGTGTGTCCGGGGGGGAAGCCACAGCCCCTCCTGACCATAAGTGTTTCAGTGCGTGAAATCAGGCACACAGAATTACAAAGAAACCCCCGGGGGTGTTAAAAGGCAGTTCTGTGCCCAGAGCCTCTCTGTGCGGGACGGGAACCTCACTGCAGGGCCAACGAGGCCCCGCAGCGAATCTGTTCTGGCAATTTGGCAGTTCTCACCCCGATGATTCCGGAATGTAACGGAGTGAGGTGTGGCTGCCCTGGAAATCGGGCCTTTTGGGGATGTAGGGAAGGAGCCCCCAGGACAGAGGACTCCTGCCCTCCCCAAGGGCGGCCGCAGTGTCGTCTCAGCCTGTCCTGCGACCAAGTTCAGGCTCCAACTCCTCCTCCTCCAGTATCTATGTTTGAAAATATCCATTTGACAAAAATATGTTGGGGTGGAGGCCTCAGTGCGGCGCTGGGATGAGACCCTCACGTGGAACCGCAGGGGACCCAGGGTCCCGCTGGGTTTGGGGGCGCAGGGGCTGGAGGAGGGGGCAGGCGGCGGGGGGGGGGG